TGTAGTCTTCAGGTCACATGTCATAGATCACGGGTTCGAGTCTGGCTTGGGGACTTTGGGGGGGGTTCTTGGCTGGACGGGTAGAGTGCCCAGTCTTGGCCTGTCATCTCTTCAAATGAACACATAGTTCCCTCTACATAGCACTGCACAAACTAACACATAGTTCCCTCTACATATAATTGCACAAACGAACACATAGTTCCCTTTACATAGCACTGCACATATCTGGCCTTCGGGCACATACATCTCGCTATACGGTTACACAGAGCACACATAGACTGCACATATCTGGCCTTCGGGCACACACATCTCGGTATACAGGTACACAAAGCACACATAGCCTTCGGGCAAATACAAAAACACATGGCCCTATGGGCTCATACAAACATGCAAAGCCTCTGGGCATACACACATACACACAAAATTACAATGCTAGACTGTGGGGGTCTATCAGGTATATGACGGGGTCTACTCACGCATGGTTTAGCTCTAGGGTAGGGGTAGGGATATAAGTCGCTCCGGCTAGTCTGAGCTCCGCCTAGCCTTGGGTAAGCTAGGGGAAGGACGGTAGGATGTGTCCGCGGGCATTGGCCTGCCTTGCTTAGGTAATCCTGCTGGGTAGACTGTCTGAATTGGGCCTGTAGAAGATTGCATGAGCCTGGCGTCCGAGGGTTCGTCCACTTCCTCTTCCATCAGGGCTGGGAGGTTGGCCCAACCTTGGTGCTTGTCATTGCTGTCTGGTCCAAGTTGTCCTAAATACTGGTAGGGTGATGGTCCTGAGTGCTGGTCACACTAAAGTAGGATAGTAGACACAGGGGGTGCGCTGGGAGTATTAATGTGGGGATGGGTCGGGTAGGTGGCCTATCCTGTCAGGACAACCATTGGCTGCCGCTACTAGCAATCACCGCGGGTCTGGTCCTTGGCCTCCACAACACCCTGGGCTTAAAAAAAAAAGAAAAAAAAAAAGATAGAGATTGGTCGGCGCCATGTACGCTGATGGACCTACGATCGTTCCTTTTGATCTGGCTAACTATTACCGCAAGTTCGTGAGGAACTTTACTGTAATAGCTGCTCCGTTGCGTAGGCTGTTGAGCAAAGAGACAGTCTGGAAATGGGACAAAGACCGTACCTCAGCCTTTAAGCGTCTGAAGAAGTATTTAATAGAGTACTCGGTTTTGAAGATTGCTGATCCATCCTTACAGTTTACAGTGACCACGAACGCTAGTCAATACGGGATAGGTGTTGTACTCCAGTAGAATGATGGCAATGGGTACAGACCCGTCGAGTTTGTCCTATACCTAGTGAAAAGGTTGCGGCTTCTACGTACGAAAGAGAGCTGTTTGCTCTTAGAGAAACCTTGAATCATTGGCAACATTACCTCCTAGGGAGGCATTTCAAAGTTTATTCCGATCATGAGACACTTCGCTGGCTAAAGACCCAAGCTAGAATGACACCTAAGTTGACCAGGTGGGTTGGGGAGATAGATCAGTTTGATTTTGAGTTGAAGCCAGTAAAAGGGAAGAATAACGTTGTCGCAGATGCGCAAAGTAGGCAAGCAGATTTCTTCAGTGCCACTGTAACATACATAGATGCAGGCGCCGGGTTGCAAGAGAAGATTAGATCCGCGTACACTAGTGATCTGGTCTATAGTGAACTGATGAACACGGTGCAGACGGCACCGCACGAAGTTCCGGACTATAGAGTGACCCAAGAACTACTGTTTGAAAAAACGGACGTACATGAGGAGATTCGCAGTCTGATCCTAAGGGAATGCCACGATACTGAGGGACATTTCGATTGGAGGAAAATGTATGCTAACCTCCTACGTTCCTACACATAGACTGGTATGAAATATGATTGTATAGCTTACGTGCAAGGCTGCAAGGTTTGCCAGCGGAACAAGAGTTCAACGCAGCCTCCCCTTGGTTTACTTAGACTGCTGCCTATATCGTCGGGTTCCAAAGACTCTGTGCCTATAGACTTTATGGACACTAAATTAAGAAGCAGGAATGGGAAACGCCAAGTGATGGTAATAGTGGACAGATTTAGCAAGTTTGCTGTTTTTGTACCACTCCCTGCTGAAGCTAGAACGAATTTAGTAATTCGGGAGTTCTTTAATCATTGGGTGAAAGACTTCAGACATCCTTTGACTATCGTGAATGATAGGGATTCAAGGTTCACAGGCGAGCACTGGCAACAACTTATGAGCGTGTATGGGTCCAAACTGACTATGTCCTCAGGTAGACACCCTGAAACAAATGGACAGACTGAGCAGATAAACAAAGTGCTGCAACAAGTGTTGCGCATGTACATCTGACCAGATCAGATAGACTGGGATGAACATCAAGCTAAGGTCGCTTGTGCCTATAACAATTCTGTGCATTTGGCTACAACACGAACGGCCATGGAACTACATTTAGGTTGGTGCCCACGTAGGCCCATCGATTGTCTTAACCCTGATCAAGTGCAAAGGCTTCCGCCCGGGAGTAGAGAGTTCGTTGTGCAATATCAGAAAGACATAGAAAAGGCGAGAGAGAACATCAGAAAGGCACAACATCAGATGATAGAACAGGCAAATAAACACCACAGACCTTCGCAGTTCGCTATAGGGGATTTGGTCTGGGTGCAGTCTAAAGAGTTTCTCCCGGAGGACAACACCCCACAAAAGTTATTGCCTATGTATAGGGGACCGTGGCATATACTCGACATGATTGGTGATGTAGATGGTCCTTCCTATGTTGTTGAGATTCCTCCACATTTGCACACTTATTAGTTGCTCCCTTGTGTCAGCAATGAGCTGTTTCCGTCTTGGAGATCTATGATTCCTCCTGATATGGATGGCAAATATGACGTGGACCGAACTGTTGTCAAGGATGTTTATAAATCAGGATGCAAGGGTAGGCCTCAGCGGCAGTATGAAGTCAGATTCGCTTATCAAGAGCCTTCTGAAGATCGCTGGTTTACTAGGGATGAGCTAATTGAAACAGCACCGCACATAGTGTCTTACTATGAGAGAGCTAGGTGAGGAATCAACATAGTTGATAGGTAAAGATTGTAACTTTCTCGGAGGACCTCGAAATTAGGCCAGTGAGAGTGAAAGGCCTTCCATGATGCAGACCCCAAATCCGAATTTCAGGCTCAAGGTCCCAGGCCGAGGGAGGCCAAGTCGGTCAGTTTCAGAAAAGCCACGGGCGGGTACCTTAGGAGTCAAATCCGACAGGCACCCGCTAAACAGTCACATCCCAAAGGCAAAAGTCGCATTCTGGAAGCAAAAGTCACGTCTCATATTGAAAAGTCATGTCCCACAGGCAAAGGACACTTCTCCAGGCAAAAATCACGTCCCAGAGGCAAGAGTCACATCCCACAGTCAAAAATCATGTTCCACAGGTGAAAAGTTGTGACTCACAGACCCAAGCAGCAGCACACCAATGAAAATTCGGGAAAAGTACCGGGCCTTGACATTCTGAAGCAAGCAGGCCGTGGGCATGTGGTACTGGGTCTGAAAATACATTTTTATTTAGATGTGGTACTGGGTCCAAGTCAAGCCAAAGAAAGCAGAGGCTGGGACGAGTTGAGGCTCAGTCCAAGTCAATATAAGGGCTGGCCAGCCACATTTCAGACAGATTGCTCATTTGTGAGAAGTGTGGAAGTGCTGCTAAGGCACCTGTGCGCTATCTGCGAGTAGCATGCACGCAAGAGCCCTGCTGGGCAGCTCTGCACTGAGAGGGAAGACGGCGATAGCCGCAGAGCTAGAGATGGGGAGACAGAGATGAGTAGTAGCAGATGTATTCAGAGTCAAGCTTCTCAAGTAGAGAGAGAGAGAGAGAGAGAGAGAGAGAGAGAGAGAGAGAGAGAGAGAGAGAGAGAGAGAGAGAGAGAGAGAGAGAGAGAGAGAGNAGAGAGAGAGAGAGAGAGAGAGAGAGAGAGAGAGAGAGAGAGAGAGAGAGAGAGAGAGAGAGAGAGAGAGAGAGAGAGAGAGAGCCAGAGAGAGAAGAGAGTCACCTACCTTAGATGAGGATGCTGGTATTGGGTTGCTGAATTATGCGCTGTTGAGCGCTTGGTGACTGGATCTCCGAAACTGTTTAATGTGATAATTTGTTCGAATTTCTAAGCTGCGCATATCTGGACTTCGCATCTCTGGACTCCAGTGTGGATTTTGTGTAATCTCTCAATGTGTGTGTGTGCTCAAGGTGTCGAGCAGTGAGGCTCAATGCATGCTGCCTAAAAGATTCAAATCTAGGATTTGGAAGGCGAACCTCTATCTGTTAAGACTGAGTTTTGAGCCTGTCACGCTCGAAGATTTAGATTTTTCAATAACAGCAGAACCTGTAGGCCTAGCGAAGCATGACAGTTCAAAGTAGCAGGCAGCTCAACAGTTCTGATCTGAATTTTTATTTGTAAACTATCGCAAAAGAAGAATGCGAACAATGCAAATTTTAATGCTAGCAAGCAGGAAAGTTGGGCAAAATTGAAGCTAGTTAGATCACTTGGTATACCGCTTAGTTTTCCATTCTGTTTGAGCATGTTGAAGCAGTTGGGCACCCAGGTGAACATAAATATTGTTTTGGCTTCGCCATTTCTATTCTGTACAATTATAGTTAATTTCTATTGAATTTTCCAAGGAAGTGTGAGATGGATTAGATGAAGGCTGAATTAGTGGTGAACGGAGAAAGAGAACGAAGTTTGGCAAATTCCTAGCAAATAATGATTGAACGTGTGTTAGATAAAGCATCATAACGAGGGAAAGTGATTGACAGTTTGTACACCACAACAGACACTTAACAAAGTGTATGGTTTCCATTATGATCGAATGATACACATTGGTAGCAAGTGGTGGAATAATCCCTTTGACAAGGGCTTGACTGACACCTGCTTCAGTTAACAGCTCCGACTATTGCTCAACTGACAGACAAGGCTCGGCTATCGGTTCATTGAAATTCTGGCTTACTCAACTAGTGAGTAGAGAAACATCACTAAGAATTGGGTACGAAAAGACTTACAAAGGCCTTGTCAGTCATCATCTGTCGCATTGAGTATGCCAAGCTGCCATAAATACAAATCACAAAAGAAATCAAGAGAAGACAAAGACAGCCAGGTTGTCATCCTCTACGCATTTAATGAAAAGTTTGTTTCATTCACAAAAAGAACTCTCAGATCGAGTTGATGGTCAAAGCAATGGCACAAGTACATCACACAATCAAAGAGGCCTTAAGCTGCTTTAACACTAGTGCACATCTGTGTTTAGTGACGTAGCAGAGTCTAGCGGCAGGGCGAGTGTTGTTTCAACCATGCATTACATCTGTTCAGTTCCACCATGCATTGCATTTGTCCAGTTCAACCATACATTGCATTTGTTCAGTTCAGGATGCAAAATAGAGTGTGTTGTCTAAGCGGATTGGAGGCACCCAAAATATTGGCCGAAATATACTCGCGGACTGCTTTAGTAGAAACAAAACCTCATGGCCACATCCAATCAAATTTTGGGGGGCTAGTGCTGGTACATTGTTATGTGACTGAATGAAAAGTTGAAAACACAATCCAGAGAGCATCAACATGTTCTCATACACATGCCACGATGACAAAGCAGACTTGGAGAGTGATTCACACCAAACCAGAGTGGCAGAGCGGAAGTCCAATAATTCATGGTCCCTCGCCCACTCTCTTGCTCCGTTAGAGTCACAACAAACCCAAGGATCACAATTCAGAGTAAACCACCTCGAACAAACTCGGAACAAAGCTTCAACAAGCCTCTGGAGTCCTCCTCCCTCCAGCATCTACCAAACCTCCTCTGGCTATGGCACACAGCCTAACTTGCTGCGCCCAGTCCAGATAAACCTGCTCACATCATACTTTCCTTGCCTTCGCAGCACCAGCGCAGTCCAAAATATTCAGACGCTCCAACTCTAGGTCAAAGTCCTCCCAAAATAAGCAGTGCCAACATCAGGATAAAGAAGGAACCCCAACTTGAAGAAGAAGAACAACTGCCACAAAGAAGAAGATATGGCAGCGCCTAACCCCAAAGCCCAGATATGGTGTCGGCAAGCCCAACAGATGAAGCGATGGCTTACTGCTGCCATGAAAGCCTAGCAGTCGCTGCCCTGCTACAACGCTGCTCCCGCAGGCTGGTGGCTTAAGATGAGCACTCAAAAGTTGCTCCCAACAAAATGACCAAAGACCCCTAACACTTCGGACTCATTGTATTTGTAGTTCTACTCTGAACTACTAACCGAACTCCTCGGACGAACGACTAAAGTAACAGTTATGGGTCTAAGTTTTCCAATATTGATGGTACCAATGATAAAGCAACATTCCGTTTAGGCCTGAAACGAAGTCCAGGGCTAATGGTACCCGTATAAAGTAGTGAAGGGATTTGAGAGAGATGTCCCTGACGAGTTCAGGCCTGGGATCAGTGACTGGTTAGGATGGAGAACTCATAAAAATTATGAAAGGTTCTAGTTAGTGTTACAGCGCACTGAGAAACTTGGTTCTGAGATGGGGTGGAACATCGAATACATAGGAGGGACCAAACGGATCAGCTCCCTGCCATTGACCACACTACAGGGGCAACAGACTTATGAGAGATATCCACTTCATAAGACAGCTCAAACCTATTTACCCCGACCCAATGTCTAAGTCTGATGGTGGAAGGCAAGTGGTACTTGTTAGCCTGTTGGATCATTGTCCTTTGGGCTGCATATATGTTAGTCCGCGCGTGCTCTAACTCCAATTCATAGCTTCAAACAAACTCTCTTGTGCGAGTAGTTAGCTTGGGTTTAGACTTGTGGATGATTCCATCGAGGAGATGTCCTAGATCTCTGGCACAATGTCGCCAGTAGGGTGCAAATCCAATAGGTTTGTGGATCGAAGTGTTATACATCAGTTGGGCCCTCTCGTACTAGCGCAACTGAGGAAATACGGACCTGCTGTGACCCTACACACAAATTTTGCGATTTTGCAGTGGAACCAGGGCCCACTGAAGCGTGAGTACGCCCTGAGGCGGCAGACGCTTGCACTGGTGGAAAGTGAGTTTTTTGACAAATGTCTGTCCCAATCCTATTGATCAGGTGTGATCACACGTCGCAGCAGCTGGAAGAGAAACTGGTTCCTAACTTCCACCTGCCAGTTGGCCTCAGAATGTCTGTCAGATGTCATGTCCAGTCTAGAATGCAAATAGTCCTTGCAATATCACGGCCACTCGTCACCGTAGAATTGTGGTTCTCTATCACTGACAATGGATGTTGGGTATCCATAAGCACTCACTCACCTCTCCAAGAAGACCTCCCTAATTAGAGGAACTCTCCACCTCAGCTGGTAATATAATGCACTCTGCGTACATAGGAAAATGATCAACACAAACCATGACCTATCGCATACCACGGCAGTAGTCCTGTCGAGAGTAGTAAAGTCAATCGACACTGACTCGCTAGGACCATTTGGATAGGCAATGGTTTGAGAAGTCGCATAGGTGGTCCCTTGTGGTCATTATTGCTTTGGCACACCTCGCAAGTGTCGAAGTACCTTAGAACATCCCTTTTTATGTCCAGCCAGTAGAAACTCTAGACATGGGTTGCATAAGTCTTCATGAACCCAAAATGTCCATGGGCATCATGACTATCAGCAGTGAGATGAGTCTTGATCTTGCGGTCATCAGGGATACACAAACGTTCCCCTCCCTTGCTGGTTGAATACAACGAGTTTGAAGTCGGGGCATACCCTGCTTAGAATTGGGGTTTGTTTCCAAATTCTTGTAAATGAGCCCCAAGACAGGGTCTTGAGGCAACGCCTCTGCAATGACCTCCCTCACCGAATCAGTAAGAATGCACAATAGCAGCAAAGGTATCAGGTATAAGAGAAAGCACAACTGCAAATCTATCATAGCACCCCTTTTTGTGTCTATGAATTGAATATACATTCCCAACGTATCATTTGCTCCCCATGGGTCTTCTTCCGCGACAAGGTTGAATAATCATAATAGATCTTGAAGTCTCGTCCCAATAAGAAGTGTTTCCATTGCTTCAGAGCACGTACAAGGGCATAGAGTTCTTTCTCATAAGTAGAAGCTTCTTACTCATGAACTCCACGGGCTTTAGGCTAGTCCCAAAGCCGAAGTGTCCACTCCGGCCATGTGCCTGATCCAAGAAATGAGTTCGGAGAGGCGTATGGTTGGGCACACACAAACGATCAAACTTCCCATAGCGTCGGAATACAAGACCCTCACACTCGTGAAAATCAGGTTGGCTACTAGGGTCAGTCTTCATCTGCTTAAGGATGGGACTAAGGTCCGGATCCTTGGCAATGTGTTCGACCAAATCCTCCCTTAGTTTCCTTCGGAGGTCATATGAGCTCACAAGGCAAGTCAAAACTCACGATGACGCGACAACGCATCAGCAACACGATTATAACAACCTTTCTTGTGTTTCAGTTCAAAATTGTATAACATCAATGTCATGCAAACAGCGGGTCAGCGTCGGAGAGAGATCAATTTGCATTTTAATCCACTGCAAGGTCTGATGATCTGAGTAAACCTTGAAGTGACGACCCAAGAGGTAGTGTTTCCAATGTGTGAGCGCCTCTCGCAAGGCATAGAGATCACACATGTATGTGGAGGTAGCTACTTTGTGGTTGGGCATGCGTTGGCTGTAATACTCGAGCGGACGCAGGTCATTGCCATCATCTTGTTGCAGCATTACGCCAATCCCATATTGGCTCGCATCCGTACTAAATACGAACGTGAGGTTAGGATCTGCATTGCAGAGCACAGGATGACTTACCAAAGCCTCTTTCAAGCCTTGAAACGCAGTCTCACATTTCTCACACCACTCATAAGTGACATTTTTGCTTGTTAGTCTCAAGAGTGGGTGAGCAATGACATAAAATTTAGGAACAAACTTCAGGTAATACGAAGCCAAACCAAGAAAGGAACGCAGTTCGCGTACGTTCGCCGGTTGAGGCCACTTTCGTATGACCTCAACCTTGGTTGCCTCCGGCTCAAGGTTGTTTGCAGACAACCGGTGCGCAAGATAGATGACGTTATCCCTTCCAAACTCAGATTTCTCTAAGTTGAGGTGCATCTTTGCCTCTGTGAGAATCCGCAAGACTTCCTCAAGGTGCTTGACGTGTTCTTCCATGGACTTGCCGAAAATCAGGATGTCGTCAAGGTAAACAACAACAAACTTGTTGAGCGGATGGCGGAGAACCTTGTCCATGAGGCACTAAAATGTGGCTGGTGCATTCGTGAGACCGAAGGGCATAACAATGAATTCGGACAGCCCATCGCGTGTTTTGAATGCAGTTTTGTGTTTGGATCAACTTCAATCTGGTGGTAGCCAGACTTGAGGTCAATCTTGGAGAACACCTTGCACCCACCTGCAACATTTAGCAAATCATCTATGCGAGGCAAGGGATAAACGTTCTTTCTGGTGATACGATTTAGGCTACGATAGTAGATACACATCCAGAGTTTGCAACCTTTTTTTGGCACAAACAGGACAGGTGCACCGAACTCAAACTCACTAGGCCTAATCCATCCACGATCAATCATGTCGTCAATTTGTCTCCTCAACTCCTCTAACTCGCCTTGCCCCATACGGTAGACGCAGCCTTTTGGACGAACACTCCCTTCTATTATCTCGATCTTGTGTTTGACCGAACGCTCGGAACTCCACGAGGTTCAGCCAGAACTTCCGGAAATCGAGACGATGAATGTTTGTTGGGACTTTCGGTGGAGGATCATCCTCATCAGGAGAGAGAAAATCAGATTGAGAATTTACAGCAATAACAACCGAATCCGAGGTAGTTGGATTAGAAAGAAGAAAAAATTGGTCATTGAGCCATTACCAATCAGCACGCGGATGTCGGTTAATGAGCAGCTTAAAGAAGAGCAGTTCCACACCCCCTTGAACACGGCGTTGTTGCTTGAGCTGCAGCCAATGTTCCAAGTGAGAGTGGAAGTTGACTTCCTTAGTCTTCCTTAATGAGCAGCTTAAAGAAGTGCAAATTCACAATGAAAGACAATGCCACCCAATTGCGAAAGAAATGAAAGA